ATTGTTCCAACCGAGTGCTCAAAGTGGCATTCAGGATACCAGAGACGATTTATGGCTTGAGGATTTTATACCATTTCTTTTGCACCTTTCATGGTTTTATTATGGCTGCGATCAACGGATGCTGTGGAAAAATTTAAAATCTCTATTGGGATAAAATTCCACCTGGGTCTTTAGATTTACTTTAGAAAAGTAGCATTTTAGAAAGTCCAGAATTTGGCAGCTTGTTAAATTAATAATAATCCTTACATTTGGTATGGTCCATTTCACCTCAGGAGCACGTTCTAAAGTGCTTCATAGGATATGCTGTAAAATGCAGTGATTGTGTGTTTTTGTGGGCAAATGTGGAAGCCAATTTGCACACAACAAATTTTGAATAGTATGGGATCTTTAACATCCTTCTGAATAGGGAGACAAGACCTTAGTTTAATGTTTTATCTGAAGGAATCACCTGCGACAATGGAGCAGACTCCAGCACTGCACTGGAGTGTCAGATTAGATAATATGAGTTCCAAGATGGGACTTGAACCCCAACCCTCTGACTCGGAGGCGAGAGTACTGCCAACTGAGCCAGCCTTGACCCACAAATTCATTCATAACTTTGAGGTTGTTTTTCTGACATTGTCAAAAGAAACTTACAGAAAATCGACTTGAAAAAATAAAAACTAAGAATTAGCCAAATTCTGTACGCTTTGAATCGTTACATTGAGAGAGTAAATCTAGACCCAGGTGCAATTATCATATATATCTCTGCCCATATACCTCTGGTTGCTGTGAGACGCTACACTGCATGAAGGGCTCTATTTGAATGTAAGTTATTGTAATAATAAGTTGTAACAAGTGTTTTGGTGACTATCACCTGCTCTGCTCTCAGCTGAAGATCATGGTCTGGGGCTTGCCAAGATGCACATGGGATTTGTTGAAATCAACTTGCTGGGAACAAAAGGAAATTTGAAACAAAGACTGCTTCTTACTTTCAAAAAGAATGAAGTATACATTGCTTCTGCTGGGAGTTTGTTCCTTATATCCTTATATGAAAGAAAAAAACCTAATCTCTATTTCCACTTGAGATTTTTCATTTTAAACCTCTGCACATGACTTATGTTCTCACAGTCAAAATAGATCAGTGAAGACCTGGATCTTATCAATTAAAACCGGAACTTCAAGTGCCACACACTTACTATCAGTCCACACAAGCATTATATCTAACAATACGTACAACATGTTTTATTCAAGAGATATGGTAGAGGAGTCATCTGTATGAGAAATAGCCAACAAAATATATCAAAAGATAACCTTATAGTTAATCTGACTATTGAGAATAAACGAATATTGATGTCATGTTTATGCTACTTAAATTCCTGATAATGCTTTTGTTTGTTCTAGATAAACCATGGGAAAGTGAATATCAGAACGACAGACAGAAGAACTGGCAATGACTCCAGTGAAGATTTACTAAATAATAATAACCCTTACATTTGTTATAACATCTTTCACTTTGGGAGTACGTACAAAAACACATCACAAGATTTTCTGTAAAGTTCAGTGCTTTGTAGGCATATGCGGCAGCCAATTTGTACATTAAATCACAAACAACCATGAAATGAATGACCAATTCATTATAACATTTTATCTCCCAGATAAAATTGTTCCTTCATGTCATGGCTTCTTATGAGGCATTGGCTACCCTGTTTACCCACAAAATACATCGTAAATCCTGTAAAACGCTCTGAAATGTCCACTTGATGTGAAAGGCAAAATGATATAAAATGTAATAATTATTACATATTACATCAGTTATACCTCACATATTACAAACTTACTAAATCTATTTGGTACAATTACATTATATTCTTAGCTGGAGTTTGCTGAATGACATTATAATAATGATCTTCATTTTTGGTATTGTGCCTTATCATGTTGACAAGAGTTTTCTGTGAAGCTTTTTGGCTGTATTTGTAAGCAGACCAGCAGCCGATTTGTGTATCAGTTTGGCGAGTTGGTGCCACTCTCATCTCTGAGTCAGAAGGAAGTGGATTCACGACTCATGTCAGGACTTTGGAATTGCATCGACCGACACTCCAATGCAGTGCTGTAGGTGTGCTGCATGACTTGCCTGTTCAAGTGGACATTAAAGATCCCAAGCCATTACTCAAAAAGAGAAGGGAGTTTCTCCCAGATAAAATTGGTATTTCACTTTGTGGCTGTTTCTGAAAATTGTTGTGTACAAATCCACAATTACTGCAATTTACAGTGAATTCTGTTTGAAGATTGAAGATGTTCCCCTGATGTGAAAGGCACTGTATAAAATGCAAGGATTATTATTTATTTACTATTAAACTAAAACCATGGCTAGCAGGACTAATGAAGGGAAGATCTGGTCCGTCAAACTGGAATTCCCAGCTAAGTGGAATTGTAATGCTAGTACTGGCATTTAAAAATATAGCGAATAAGCTATTTTTTGCTTGTGTGATTCAAATAATCCGAGTCTAATTCAATACCCTTAGCCACTGTGAAGGCCAGCAAGGACTTTGAGGTTGCATATGGTGGCACTGGCATGTGCGAGGAGAGTTGAGAGTTGGAAATCTGCAGAAACTTTTTTTTTTAAAAATTCGGCTTCGGGTCCAGTCTGGCAAGGTTTGAATTCCAGATACCAGGGGAGTCTGATAAGACACAGTTTACTGTATGACCTTGTATTCATTTGTGTTGAATTTCAAATTCATCTACAAAAATATAGTTACTTTATAGTAAAAAAAATCCTTTTTAGCCCTCTGAGACTCTTTTGCAGTGATCAGGCCATGTGCATACTGAATCAAGCTCCCTTTGTATGATGTTGCTGCCCCCTCTGATTCCAAATTCCCCTTCCAATTTGGTGACATTTGCAAATTTAACAACTTTACATTGGGTCTGAGAATCCAGCTTATTCAAGTGCACAACGAACAGGAGCTGTCACAGTATGCGCCCCTCCTCACCATTTTAACCTAGTTCCATTTGGCTGATTGAGCCTATGCTGGAGCAACCAGCTATTTACCTCTTATCCTATTTTCTTATCATTGTCTACACATGTCTGGAGAGCTGAAAAGTTCAATCATCACCTTTTTTTCCCCCAGGGGTAGGATAGTCCACCTTCTACTACAGAATCTCTGTACCATCCATGTGGCACAATTTCTGAGTTAGGTGTTGTAAACTTTTTTTTATTAATGAGGCACTTGATACACAACAGACTGAACGACTAACTCAATGCATGGAGCATGATTTGTAAAAACTCAGTTTCCATTCCTTAGCATCGATACGGGATTAGAAGAATACTCAATTCACCCAAACATTGCCAAAAGCCTGACTGTACATATTCCACTGACAGATCATTTCCTGCATATGCTGAGCTGCTTCAAGGACCATCAGGATAAATAGGGACAAAGAAGTCGCATCATCAAGCATCTCATGCACTTGGGGCCAAAGGGATATTAAGCAGCATCTGGAAAGAAGAAGTTTTCCTTGGAGATGTAGAGGAAACACGATGGCACATTCCTGTAGAACAGCCTAAGGAATTGCTTCTGAGCATCTGTGCAGTGTCAGGCAAGGAAAACACGTATCACACCATCTTGAGATGAATATAATCTAGATCCATTTGTGAAAAAGTAAGAAGACAAAAGGACCTAATTGTGCTAAAATTTCTTTTTCAAGCTGTCAAATATATTTAATATTTTCCACAGGTCAGAGGAGGCAGCAGGAAGATGCACATGATTGATTTTAGTACTGGCTGTTATCTAGTGCATGTCAATGGGTTGGCCGAGTGTTCACTCCTATTAATAATAATAATCCTTGCATTTAATAGAACATTTTATCATGTCGTCAAGATGTCTCAAAGCTCTTCACAGGATATACTGTAAAATGGCTTGACTGTGTATTCTGTGGGCGAAACAAGGTCCATAAACAGTAATGGAGTGAGTAACCAATTTTATTCGGGGGATTGTTGGCCAGGACACCAGGAGAAACATCCACCTGAACAGGCAAATGGGACGTCGGTTTAATGTCTCATCCAAACGATGAAAATATGTACTATAATATAGACCTCAGGTTTTGATTTCAATTCCTACCTTTTGGGGACATACAAAGCACTCTCTCCATAACAATGACCTCCCCACAGAACACTGTACCATTGAAATGAACAGGGAATGACTGCCTGTACCATACCTGGAAATTGAGGGTTGGCATACATCATAGATCAAATGGCCTCACCTTGATTTCTGGGGCATTGGGGGCAATGTCCATTATCACCGATTGATCATAGACTTTGCTGTTCCTTGAGCAAGTGCTTGCACTTTGGGTGTTTGTCCTTTCCCAGTGTCACTACGTTGGGCTGAAGTGCTAACAGGTTACTCTGCTACATGTTTCTGGACTCCTATCATGACATCTTCAATCATAAGTTAGTAGGGAAGAGGAACAGTCTCTTATTCCATCAAACTATTCCCTCCAAAGACCATGTACAATGTGCCCAATCATTTTTTCCACCCATCTCAATCTTACCTGCCTAAGGTATAAGATCCAGGAAGGTAAAATGCTGTAAAATGTCTCCAAGCTTCTTATGATGACCATACAAAACTCCAAGATAGCAAATTAACCAATTCAACATTTACAAAGTATTAAATGTATTCCTACATTATCAAATGATCAGAAGCGCATTCAGGCCAGTGGGGTCCATTCCACAAATTCACCACTTCGGTGGAAGATTTCTTCTCATTGATACTCTTCCTCAAGGTTCATTCATTTTATGCTCATCTATTCTGCTGCCATCACAAAATAAGTTAAATAACTTACCTGCATCTGCATTATTCACAAAGAGCTGCTACGTCAATCTTCTGTTCTCCAGTGATCTCAGACAGTGTCCCAAATCCTCCAACTCCCAACCGAGTGACACTGACTGAGGCCGAATGTTATTGTTCCACCAATCAACAGCATTTCTTTGTAGAAATTGTCTTGAAAAGAAAAGTGCAACTGCGTACCTTTTGAAATCTTGATTGAGCCCACTGCCCCATCGCCTCCTTCACTGTAGGCCCTGACCTCCACAATGTAGTCCCCCTCATCGTAAACAGGTATATCTATATTGTGGTTTAAGGTCTGTAGCAGTGTGCCATTAACGGTTCCATCTCTTCTATATAGCACCTAAAAGTGTAAAAGAAACCTTGATGTAGTATATACGTGACACTTAATAGAATATAAAACACTGAAAATTTAGCAGGAATCTGACAGTGAGTTTCCATTTACAGATAGTCCAGGCATTATCTGACCTGAAAATATTTCAGTTAGTATTCCATCCAACCTAGGCACTGAGCAATACACTGACATATCTGTGTGAACATTTTTAAGTATGATACACCATGAAACTAATACACCACTGTATTCTTTTAAATATCCAAGTGAACACAGCATTCATCTTACTCAACTTCTATTTTCTTTTCCCACTTTTTGTATTCCCCTAACATTTTCCAGCCTCCCGTAAGGACACAGTTGGCCAGGTATAGCAAGTCACTGTGATTGGAATAATTTTGATGTGGCGTAATATTATTCTAAAATTATGCAAAACATATATTTTTGTACTGCTCCATAGTCATTGTCATGTTGTATTTTGTTTTCCGTTTTAGCAAATCTAACTGAAAAATGTGGGAATCGCCCTATAATTGAGATTGTCTTACATTCAGAACAATATAGTATGTGTTGGTTAAATGTTAAACACCTCAGAGAACCGATGTTGAAAAAGCCATCAGACTGCAGCTTTTTTTGGTCAGCTGTCTGCTTGACACACACAGAATTCCTAAGAGTATCCACACCAGACAAAGTTCCACATATGTATACCACCTCCGCATGGAAATTTCCATGCATCTGGAATGAAATGCATAGTCTCTCCCTGGAGGGATGAGCTCTGCTTACCTAATTCTGGAGCGTATTAGGCACAGCTTGTGTGTGCTGGGGTACTGCTGGAGTTGATCAGCGAAAAAACATAGAGAGAGCAGTGTCTGGCAAGCTTCAAGCGCTCCGAGACGCCGTCCGACGTGAAGGGCACTATATATAAATGCAAGTTGTTGTTGTTCCACTATTTGTCCAGTTACTACCACCTTACCTATTAGGGCTTTGACTTATAGAGTTAAAAGGAGTTGAGTGGTAACGAATCCCTATACCCCCCTGTGACCACAACATTTTAAATGTTACATTTTAAGTTTTCAATCAAAGATTGCAGCAGCCTCTCTAAACACCACAGATACTTTTGGAGCTTCACACGGGTCACTCGATTCAATAGCGACTGCAGCAAGATCTGTGAAAGATGTTGAGCGGCAGAACCAGGTAAAAAGCACAGCTGCAAAGGCATGAATGGCTGCACACAAAAAGCTAGCCGCCCAACATCAGCTGGTGAGAGTTCAGTTTGTGCAGGAGAGTCACAGAGGCTTACAGAGGATACACTGTTCAGTCAAAGACCCGGAAACCTTAGCCTCTCTGAGTGAGGTGCGCGTGACTAATATTGGAGGTACCTCAAACTCTGGACAAAACATTGTAACAAACATTTCATTATTCACATGAACAGAGTTGGCTTTTTTCAATAAATAAGGGCATTTAACTCGTAGAATGAAATAAAAAGCTTCAGTGTAAAACAGTCACCCAATCCACGTGTGCAGAACAATGAGGCCTTTCACTGTGGCAAGACATTTCAAAATATGATTTATAAACTGTGAGATATTGAGTTCTGCAGCGTTTTTGTGAAGTACGGTTATTTTTGTGCAGCTTTCCATGCCAGTGCTGCTGTTCTTCTTACCCTGGTTCTGCCGCTTAATGTCTTTTATAGATATTACTGTAGCAGATAATACAATAATTGATACACTAAAGCTCCAAAGCATATCTGGTGTTAGTAAAGTCTGCTGCAGTCATTCAGTCTTTTCAACAGCAGCTCTCTCTAGATTTTAACCGTTACCAAACACACACATCCGATTCATTATTTCATCTCCCGTTAATTTTATTGTGACAGGTTTCGCATCATTTGGAACAGTGATGGCCGGCCAGTTGATTGACATAGGCTAAATTCTCCCTGATTCCCATGGCTTCACATTTTAATACGTAAAAGTAACTTAATGCAAAGAAATATTGATGACTTGCTCTCAAGAACCTAAAGGTAATTGACAGCTGTCTGTCTGGAGTTATTTTAGGAACTAAAGAAGAACAAAGGACGAGATCACATTCTTTTAGATCTCCAATAATAAATGGATGTAAATCACTTGTTACGGATGTGTAATTGACTTAAGGTGACAAACACTGATTCATGCAAGCTAATCTCCAGACTTTTCAGCTTTGCATACTGGAGCAGAGGACAGTGGGCAGTCATAGATTGAGGACATAGAGGATTGATGCTCAGTCCTGGCAGAAAGTGAGGGAGACCTGGGCACAATTCCATTCTGTCATATATAAACTAATGCCATTGACTCACAATCAGTCTGGATTGAGCCATGAAAAACCTGTCCAAATAAAAGCATCCTGGAAGAAATCATTCCAATGGTAGTTGAAATATAGCAGCTTAATTTACAATATCTATTATCTGGAATTCCAGTCAACCTGTGGGACTCCTCTCTGCAGGTGCATAGTATCAGGACTGAGCTCTCAATGGGTTTGTATGATGTGCTTCTGCTGATGAGAAAGAGTCACCATCTGCCTGACTCGAGTTATCTGCTTATTCCTTGGAATGAACTGTTTTCACCATTGCTGATGTGTTCAAAAACAAAAATTCCCAATTTCAGTCAAGGAAGGCATGTGAAGTGTAGATATTGGCCTTAGCACACCCAATCCAGGGGGTGTGAGTCTGCGAAGCCCACTGTCCAGTGACGCTCATCACCAAGGTTGACACATGAACAGTGCACCCCCTCGAAACATGAACCAGATGCAGCTTGCACTTGAAACTGCAGCATTAGTCACTACTTCACAGAGAGGAGAGATGTCAGGAAGAGAGCTTGGAGTGCAACATAAGTAGGTTAAAGCAATTTTAGACAGCAGTTTCCGACTGCAGATGTGCTGTGCATTGAATTAGTGCTACGGGGACTCCTATAACATAGACTGTCCAATGCTGTGTCTTATAAGAGTGCTTAGCAGTGTCACATGCTCAACATACCTTGTATCCCTCCACATTCGATTCATTGGACAATGCTGTGACACCTTCCCAGACGATCTGGAAGTGGGTTCCAATCGGTGTGACACTGACTATTTTTGGAGGCTGGCTGGGAGCTGGAGAACAGTAAATCAAACCTTTCAAGATCGACAAGCATAGAATAATAATAATTCTTGCATTTAATATAGCACCTTATCATGTAAGAAGAACAGCTCAAAGTGCTTCACAGGAATTACTGTGAAATGGAGGCAAACATGGCAGCACCATTGTACACAGCAATGTCCCACAAACAGCCATGAACAACAACAACAACAAAATTACATTTGTATAGAGCCTTTCACATCAGGACACATCCTAAGGCGCTGCTCAGTCAGAGTTTCGGACTCAAGCTGGGGGTCAAGATTGGGGAGGGTGGAGGGCAGGGGCGGATGCAGGGTGATCAAAAGCACGGTCAAAGAGGAGAGTCTTGAGATGGGTCTTGAAGGAGGCAAGGGAGGGGGCTAGGTGGAGAAACTGCCGGATGGAGTTCCAGAGGGTGGAGGCAGAGTGGCAGAAGGCCCGCCCGCCAATGGTGTGCGGGCGAGATAAGGGACTTGAAACAAGCCGGAGCCCATTGAGTGGAGGGAGTGGGCCAGATGTTAGAGGATTGGGAGGTTGCAGAGGTAGGGGGGAGCACGACCATGGAGGGCTTTGAAGGTGAGGACCAGAATCTTGAACTGTATCCTCTGTGTGATGGGAAGCCAGTGGAGTTGAGTAAGGATGGGGGTGATAGGGTCATGGACCCTGGTGCGGGAGAGGACATGGGCTGCAGAGATCTGGACCTCAACCTGAAGCCTATGGAGGGAAGAGTTAGGGAGGCCGACAAGCAAAGAGTCGAGCCTTGATGTAATGAATACATGTATGAGGGTTTCAGTGGTCTGCGGTGTGAGACAGTGGTAGAGCCTGGCGATTTTGCGGAGGTGGGGAAGGAACAGAGGGTCGTGGCATGGATGTGGCATAAAAAGCATAGTTGAGGGTCAAACAAGATGCCAAGGTTTGAGGGTCAAGCAAGACTGGCTTAGTAAGGTGGAGTGTGCATCCATGGATGGTGATGCTGTCAGCGCCTGAGCTGTGGAGGTGGTGATGGTAGCCAATCAGGAGAGGCTTGGTCTTGTTGACGTTCAACTGAAGAAAGTTAGCTCTCATCCAGAACTTGACATTTTGTCAGGACAGCCGTGGTCCTGGAGTCAAGGACCACTGGAGGCAGAGAGGTACAGTTGAGTGTCATCCGCATACATGTGGAAGTTGACCCCATGTCTGCGGATGATGTCACCAAGAGGGAGCATATAGATATTGAAGAGGAGGGGACCAAGGTCAGAGCCCTGAGGAACATCGCACAAAATGGTGCGGTGGCTAGAGGAGAAACCGTTTGTGGAGAGGAAGTAGCGATGGTGTAATAGGTACGATCTGAACCAGTCAAGGACAGAGCCATGAAGGTTGAGGTGAGAGGAGAGGCAGTGGATGGGGATAGAGTGGTCAACGGTGTCGAAGGCAGCAGAGAGTTCAAGGAGACAGAGGGAGTCCTGGTCGCAGGTGGACAGAATTTCATTTGTCACTTTGACCAGGGCTGTTTCTGTGCTGTGGGTGGGACGGAAACCCAATTGGAGGGGTTTGTGAAGGGAGTGGCAGTAGAGGAAGGAGCGAAGCTGGGAAGCAAAAACTTGTTCCAAGATCTTGGAGGGGAAAGGAAGGTTGGAGATGGGGAGGTAGTTTGGGAGCACTTTTATGTCATGAAATGAATGACCAATTTTAGTAAGGGGATTGTAGGCCAGGACACTAGGAGAAACTCCTTCCTCTTTTCAAATAGTGCCATGGGATCTTGAACATCCACCTGAACAAGCAAACAGAACCTCGGTTTTAAGTCTCATCTGAAGGATGCCACCTCCGACAATACATTGGAGTGTCAGCTTAGACTATCTGAGTTCAAGGCCCAATGTGGGATTTGAACTCACAACCTTCTGATTTAGAGGCGATAGTGATACCACTGAGCAAAGCTGACACATGCTCAGAACCATCAATCAAATTCAGGTCTGAGGGGCATGAGCAACAGTTTAGCCTCAAAACAAATGGGGAAAATTGTTTTCAGTGAGGAGCAACACTGCCTACCGAGTAAAAACGTTGTTGTGAACATCAGATAGTCAAAGACCTGAAAGAGGAAATATTGAACCTACATATGAAGATCAGTATGTGATGGTGGAGAAAAGGCAGCATCGTTCAGGAAGTCAACGTTGAATCCTGGTCTGTGCTGAATCAGCTGATATCAACCAGGGCAACAATTTGGAAAGTACAATTATCCTCAGGGCTTCTGGGTTTAGGAGGTGAAATTAGCTTGGGTTCCCACTGCTGATTGTTAAGTAATTACTGCTCGCAAGTGAGGAATGTAGAATCTGCTGTAAAGTGATTGTGTGTGGAGTCTACTGTAAGGTGAATGTGTGTGTGAATCTGCTGTAAAGTGAGGGTGTGTTTGTATGATGTTGGATGAGACAGAATGTGATGCCCCCCCCCACCCCCATCTTGAATCGCCTGTGAACACTGTCTGTCTGTCGAGGCATTCTGTCCATGCTTAAATAATAATTATCATTCCATTTGATATAGCATCCTATCACATCGTTGAGATGTCTCAAAGCGCTTCACAGAATATACTGGAAAGTGAATTGGCTGCACAAACAGCTGAAACTGCCACAAACAGCTGGGAAGGAGAGCTCACGTTCTCAACACACAGTGAAAAGGAAACAACACAAGTCATGAAAGGAATGTGAGTGCTGGCCTTCCCAACAGTCAGGCGTTTTCACAATTAATTGTTAAATAGATATAGAAATAATTATAATGAATAATTTGGCCAAATGAAATGCTACATACGTCCTTTCTTGGTGACAACTTGGACTGTTCGACTGGGAGGACCAGCTCCGGCTTTGTTGTAGGCTCTGACTTCCACATGGTACCAGGTGTCAGGCTTGAGGTCCTTCACTCTGGCTGTTAGATTGTATCCAACTGTTCTCACTCGATGTGCAGCAGCCTCGTTATCGATGAACTTCCGGTATCTGATCTGCAAGTTAAGCATAGAAATGCGATTCAGGGTATTTGCGCTTCAAATTCCATTAAAGCCATTGACTTTATACACCATCTCCTCATCTACCCTTATGCAAAAACATCCAACACTCACAAAGGAAAATATTCCAAGATTATCCCAAATTGCTCTTGTGGCAGTGTGATATAGTGGTTATGGCAGAGTTATCTATTTTCAAATGTTTGCACAGGCTAAGAACACTGCACAAGGTATCAGCTACTCGCACAACCTGACGTTCGTAAGATAGTAAGTTACCAAAAAGTGAAATTCTTTATTCACTCTATCTGAAAGTTTCATTAAAAACACAAAAAGGTCTCAACTCTTGGTATCAAGCATAAATTCAAGTTGCACTTTGCACAGTACCTCCACTGAGTCCTCAAAGAATAAGCAAATGATGTGAACACCAACTTATTTGTTACATGTTTAGACTTCTGAGATTGTGGGAATCATTGACATTTTAGTTTTGAAAGTCTTTTTAGTTATGTTTTGTATTTCATCACTGTTCACTTGGATATTAAAGCTGCCACACAGTAAAATGGCAGCATCAAGAAAGCAACTTAACACTTGGGTGCAATCTGCATTCCAGACTCTACGAAAGGCAGCTAATTCACAAACACTGAAAAGCCAATTTCAGTAAGTCTTGTCATAGCACAGATTCTATGGGGAAAAAATCCACCAAAGTCTAGATTTACTCTATTTACATAGCATTTCAGAGTACAGAATTTGGCAATTGTTGAATTCAACCTTAACTTTGAAGTTGTTTTTCTGAAGTTCTTTTAAAAGAACTTACAAAAAAAGGCTTCAGAATTAAGGCTGCATTCACAAATATTTACATTCTGGGTGCTCTAAAATGTTATATAAATAGAGTAGATCTACACTCCATTGCAATTTCTTTCTATATGTGATTAATGCAGCTAAAAATCTGCTGCACAAGTTGCACACATGATCATGCAAAGTTTAACACATCTGGGTGCAGCTTTATGACCTAGTGCAAAGCAAACATTCGCCACTTAACTGCCCTGGTGCATAAGTCAAAGGTGAGCTTTACACACTGTGTTTTACGGTAATATTTTCATCGGAAGCCTCCATCCACCAATCAGTTATGTTAGGTTTTCCAGATTCATTCCTTGAGAAATTACTTTTCAAGTGGGTGTTTAAGCCACACTTCATTGCAATAAAAGATTTTCATGATAGCCCATTTTTCATCAAAGACATGACTGAAATATTACCAATGAATTACTGCAGTAGTGCATGGTTTTATAATGGAAACACTTTATTTATGGCAATATTATTATGGTGTTTTGAAGCCATTCATATTGATTGCTGGATGATTATCATTTTCTAATATACCAGAAGCAACATTTCCTTTAAACTGTCGAAAGAAAGAAATCTGCTTGAACTGCAGATTGTGTCTCATGATGCAACACGCTTGCACTCTCTGGTAATGATAATAAACAATAAAAGGTTCAGGTCATGTTGTCCAGATGGATATAAACTGTCTCAGCTATGTTCTGTGCTTTATGGTATCATCTGAGTGCTTTGACTGCCATGTAATTCACTTACAGTTATCCATTCTCCTCCACGTTTACCATGAGTCAGCAAGTTATGATGGGAAATTGTACACTTTTACATCCCTTCCACCCATCAGAGCACTTTTAATTGGAAAGCATCAGTGACTGCTCTCCTTCATGGCATAATGGAGGAACACAACACACAGCATAACCCTGAATCATGCAGAACAGGGAGGTCTCCGCATCAATGATCCCTGGGCTATGCTGAATCAGTTATGATCTGGGCATAAAAGTAAGTCCTTGGGTTTTGGAAGAGAAGAATTTGTAAAAAAAAATCACCCCGTTTCTGATTATTATTCATTGACCTCTTGTTTCTGTGGAAGCAGACCCCAGCATGAAATGACAGGGGAGGATGAGAGGAGGACTGCAGAGAGAAAACTGGGCAGGAGGAAAAGATTTGAAAGATTAAGAAAACAAATCTTAATTCTGTAAAGAAACGCTCAAAGCCCTTTGCAGCAATTGATGTCAAATATATTAACTGTTTTTGCCAGCAAACACACACAGTGATAATACTGTGCCTCGCAAATAGTTGTGCAATGAAAGACCAATTAATCAGAAGGATCATTGGCCAGGACACCAGGAGAATTTGGACCAGCCACGAACCTCTGGGGAGAAGAGCAGAGCTCACAGGAATTCACACTGCTGCATTTGTACTGCAGATTCCAACTCAATAAGTGCTGCTGAAAACCAACTCCTCAATTTACTGCGAGGTGCGACCTATTTTCCATCATGTACTGGGTCATGAAATAGTAACCGCCAGCTGCAGAACAGAAAAGTGTCTCAGCAAAAATACTGCAAGCAGAACACACTGAGCCCAGGCAATCTGTCTGTTCTTTGTCTGTGGTGTCAGTCGAAGCGCCTTAACAGTGCTTTCTTTTCATGGGATCCTCCGAGACAGGGTGGGTTCATTTCTCTCTGCTCAATTGGATGCCACAGTGGCCACTGTAGCCACGAGCAGAGCCAATCCCGACAAGAAACCAAACCCCGAACTGAAGGACCTTTCTCGACACAGCTTTAGCTGAAAATTCTTCATTGGCATCAGAAGTACATCCTGTTATTAGAAGTCAGCACGGAAAGGTTTCAATTAAACTCATTTTATTTCAGGATATTTGTGAATATTTTACTCCAAAATAAAAATTTAAGGGGAAAAACACTTAAACATCAGCTTTCATACAGGCAATGCCAGAATTAACAATGTTTTTGTTAATTTACTGAAGAATGTTTAAGGATTTTGTTCCCAAATGTGTTTTTTACTGAGGTCAATACTGAGTAGAGAGACCAGAATGTTACCACGACGTGACAAACTACTGTATTTACTCTGGAGACCTTTCTCTTAATGTTTTCTGCCAACTCCCAGTTCCTTTCTGCTGAAATGAACTAGCCCTTTGTAGCACAACTTTCTTGATGGGATTTTATTCAGTTTAAACTTCAGATCTCATCTGAAATCTAGGGCTTCTCTTTTGCGCTGTGTACTGATACAGCACAAATCATTCAAATCTTTAGACACAAGACTTTCATCCCCCAACAGAATCTGGACTGGATTGAAACTGATGCCGAAGATGAAAGGATTGTATTTCTCAGCTACTATTGCTGTTCCAAGATGGCAAGTCTCGCTTAAACCACATTTACTGCTAGACAAGCACTTGTATGAACAGGATATGTATGTTCTGCCCTCGTACTGTTATGAACCTGTTAGAATAAACAGGACTTTAGAGTGGTGTCAAGTTAATATCTCATCTTGTGGCTTCTCATCATCATGGTGACTGAATGTAAACCGACATGCTATGTAAATTGAGTAAACCTAGGCCCAGATGGAATTTTACTCCACATGTGACTTGCCTCCCACTATTATTCATTAATTCCATTGCAGTTATTTGACCAGCAAAGATCCCCCAAAAAGTTACTGGTGGCCGTTTGTGAGTACGTGACGATGCTGATGTCATCATAACTCTCACACGGAATGTCATCGGATACATCCCGCTCTGCCTCAGCAGCTTTTCACTGGCGAGTCAGATCTTCCGCCGGGGGTTGGTAAGGACGCGATGGGCAAGGGGACGCACTTGCCTGTCAGGAGGCTCCTTCCCCAGCTTGGGTGCACACTGCAGTACCGGCTGGCGTTGGTTTCACTCTCCGTGCCCCGCCCCCCCACAAACGCCGGGTCTTGCCGCTGCCATGGGAGGATGTTTGCCAGGAAGGGAGGGAGCAAACATTTGAATGTTGGAAATGGTCTAGGGATGGATAAGATCATCCGGCAGGAGGATGCAGCCCATGGGCTGGTTGTTGGACCATGCTGCTCTACAATATAACGAACAACTGGCAGGTTTTGCACCCTTCTCAACGTTTATAAAAATATACTGGGTTTGTGAATACTGACTTTATACTATGCTATGTGACATACTGAAATGTTTGCTTTATATATTGCGCTATCTTGCTCAATCATGTTTTTGAAGATGGCCGTCAAATAAACCGCGACGTCTCCTTCAACTTGGCCAAGCAAGACAGGAAGAACAATTTAGCGAAATTATAATCGAGGAGAACATCAATCATCTTCCAAGGCAACCGCATAGTAACAAAATATCTCCTTGGTTTGAACTTTCAATTGTGCCACATTTCAAAATTTCAACTTCTTTTATCCTCCCACTGCACATCGTTCCTGGACTAGATGGGTGGAAGGGAAATTCTTGCTTGACGCAGCTTTGGGGAAGTGTACCAGTGCATTCCCTCAGCTGTTTCCTGCTTCCCTCTTCAATCTGGGACAGCATGGTTGAGATATCCTCGGCTCCTGCCATTTGGATTCAAAGCTACATCGCTCTCCTGAGTGCCTGTTGAAAAAATGAGCCACTGCACGACTCTCCTCTCTTATACCTATAATTAATACACTGCACCACTCTCCTCTCTATATCGTAATCATCACACTGCACCAATCAAGCAGATCTGTTCAGCTACCTGTGCTTCCGTCAGGCTCTTTCCCCTTCTCCATCCTCCCTCTCAGCCTCCACTCACCCCTCTTTCCACATCTTCATCCTTTATTCGCCCTCATCTCTCTCCTCCCTCATCCCCTGCATGAAAAGCACCACCTTGACTCCATCTCCACTTCGCTCTTGATTGCTCAGCTTCCCTGCTAGCCAACGTCATCAACTTCTCACTTGCCTCTATCAAGTCCTGGAGGACTTTCTTCAGCTAAATGTCAGCAACACCAAGGTTCTCCTGCTGGTCTCCTGTCAGTTCCTTCTCATCTCAGGCACTGACCGCATCGATCTACAAGATGCACACTCCATCCACAGAGCCAGTGAGGAACCTCGGGGTCCTGTTTGAACCCCAATTGTCCTTTAGGCTCTGCATTCAGACTTACATTCGCTTGACTTTCCCTCACCTCACAATTTAGCCCACCTGCTCCACAACCTCTAC